AAAGAGCAAAATGCTTCATGGGAGAAGAAGAACAGATGGATTTAACAATTCACGGAGCGGGAGAGAGGCATCTCCGTCCCATGGAAAAGGAAGGAACAAATGAGGCAGATGGTAAATGTCGCTTGAGCCCAAATGGCAACATGATGCTCAGTTAAACTGACACACACACATAAGATAAATAAATAAATAAACAACCCACAATAAATACACACATGCACATGTGGGCAAAAGCTTGATATGACGTAACGGCACAAAACACCATGATGGAACAGAACGACTCTTGCGTCGTCATTTTCCCGGTTTTGATATTTTGTTTGCAGTCGCTGATGGCTTCGTGGTACACTCGCCGGACTTGCGTGCGGGCAGCCGGGGATCGGTTTCCCACTCGGTGACTGCGTGAACGTGGGTGCGTAGGCTTTTTCGTCTCGAGATGTGCCCTGTGACTGACTGACGAGCAGTTCGGGGGTTATTCGGCCTTTTGCCCAAAGTCAGCTGGCTTGAGATTACAGGAGCAGCAGTTAGCTAAACCTCCCCATTCCGGGGCTACCTCCACTAATTCCTACAAGGGTCAAAGTCTTTCCAAGCTAGCGGCATCCCTGCAGCATGTCCTGCTTGTGCCTCAAGGTCTCCTCCCACTTTTCCCTGGAGACCAGTAAGGCAAGGAGATAAGTCGATGCTTCAGGCACATAAGATGGCAACTCCCAATGAGGAAGGAAGAGCAACTCAACTGTGAGTCCCTCCCGGATGACTGCACTCCTCACTTTATCTCTAAAGGTGAGGCCGGACACCCCGAAGAGAAAATCTCATTTCAGCCTCTGCAATGCGTGTCCTTTTGGTTATTACCCAAACTTTGTGGGGGTGGAAATGTAAAGCGACCGGGAAATTGAAAGCTTTGCTTTCTGACTTAGCTCCACAGTGCGGTACATTGATTGCATCTGCATGTCAATCTTACAGTCTGTCCTTCCCAAAACTACAGAGTCAAAATCCAGGGATGCTTGGGCTATGTTCTCATGTGTAGTACGTGTACGAACAAGATCCCTTGTTCCCCGTAAAAGAATTCTTCGGTATCAAGTAAACAACACCGCTCTTGCCTATTGACACGGAGTCATGCTGCTAGGCTATCTGCTGGTTGGCATTTGCAATTGTGACAGGACAGCGAATCTTGTGAATGGTGAAAGTTTTATTCTAGGCGCTCTACATAAAGAGAGAGATAGCAAGAAAGAGAGAGAGAGAGAGAGATAAAGAGAGAGAGTGCACAGAAAAACTCCTGTGAAATTCACACCAAAAATATTGTTTTTACTCTTTATCATTTATAATTCTCCATGATGATGTATTCCAGTATGAATTTACAAGTGATGTTTACAGGTGTCATTTTTCTAAGTATATTCAAAATAGTTCCTTAAAAGTCTTTGAGTTTACCCAAATTAACAATTTAAAAAAAACAAACAAACAAAGCTTTTCTACAGCAAACCATAAAGAAAGAGGTCTCATATCTTTGGAGGGTGAGCAGACTCAAAGGTTTTTTTTTTTCTTTTTTTTTTTTGTCTTCTTCTCGGTGGAAGTCCTGACTATACATGAAGTAGGAGTGGGAAGAGAGAAGGAGAGCTGGTGGTACATTTTCAAATTCTCACCTGCCATGGAGGAAGAGCAAGGATGTCCCACCATCCCAAATTAAGCTCTGACCTCTGACCTGTAATCCCATTGAGCAAAACAGGGCCTGATAATGACCCCCCCCCAAATCTAGCACTTGCGTAAGCAGCTTATGTAATCAAATCACACAACCTTGGTTTATGTGTTTAATAACACTGGATTTTCTTTGACGCTAAATAGAAAAAAAGAGTGTCTTAATAAGTATTTTGGGGTGCTACATCCCTGATTCAATTATTGAAAAAAACATAAGAAAACAAATGGTCATGATAGTACTTTTTTTGAAGAGCTACATTAGTTGAATAAAAGGTTAAATGAATTAAGATAAAGGGGAGAAAAACAAATTGGCTTGTTCTTTGACAATTACATTTCAAATGTCAAAGGTCTGTGACTGGTTCGGACGTTCAACGCTAAGAGGCTTCAATTCAATCTTGTGTTGCTCGAACTTGCCAGAGGGTTGCGCCAACGCGAGAAAAGCAGATCAATGCCATCGGCATCGGCGACACACGTTATCATATGCACACTTGCACACAAACACACACAAATTGGGAAAGAATTAATAAGGTATCTTGTCGTGAAATGGATCCGACTCTGGCTTTCATGGCGTTCTTTTAAGCCAAGAGTCTCTTAAAAGCTTCATCATTGCTCGAGAACTCCTGAGCCCAAAATAACTTTGCTTTGGCAGGTGAGCCAAAAAGAACCATGGGTCTAACACAGACATCCATTCACATAGTAATTACACAGCCTGTGCAAGTTTTACTGGCCCATTTAACTCCTTTAACGGAAAAAAAGTTTCGTGTTTTATAATTATGGTTTCGATTGAATTTATATGCTGAAATTTAACACAACTAATCCAAAAAAAAAAAAAAATTTTTTTTGGACCATTTAGAATTTTTTAAAAAATACAGGGATGTGAATAAAGAAGCTGATTGTAATTTTATTATTTTTTTTTTACCGCAATAAAAAGTAATGCGATAGAACAATGTTTAGGTCAGCGTCAGTCGTCGAAGAATCGGGCAGAAATCTCCGATGTTTTATTCTGTTGTTATTTTAGGAGAGAAGCGGTCAGAGTGAGGGTTGGAGCGGAGGGAGTCAGTGATTGGAAAGTCAATAAGGGCGACGCAGATTATTACAGTGGAATTGTGTTTGTTAAAGAGCAAAATGCTTCATGGGAGAAGAAGAACAGATGGATTTAACAATTCACGGAGCGGGAGAGAGGCATCTCCGTCCCATGGAAAAGGAAGGAACAAATGAGGCAGATGGTAAATGTCGCTTGAGCCCAAATGGCAACATGATGCTCAGTTAAACTGACACACACACATAAGATAAATAAATAAATAAACAACCCACAATAAATACACACATGCACATGTGGGCAAAAGCTTGATATGACGTAACGGCACAAAACACCATGATGGAACAGAACGACTCTTGCGTCGTCATTTTCCCGGTTTTGATATTTTGTTTGCAGTCGCTGATGGCTTCGTGGTACACTCGCCGGACTTGCGTGCGGGCAGCCGGGGATCGGTTTCCCACTCGGTGACTGCGTGAACGTGGGTGCGTAGGCTTTTTCGTCTCGAGATGTGCCCTGTGACTGACTGACGAGCAGTTCGGGGGTTATTCGGCCTTTTGCCCAAAGTCAGCTGGCTTGAGATTACAGGAGCAGCAGTTAGCTAAACCTCCCCATTCCGGGGCTACCTCCACTAATTCCTACAAGGGTCAAAGTCTTTCCAAGCTAGCGGCATCCCTGCAGCATGTCCTGCTTGTGCCTCAAGGTCTCCTCCCACTTTTCCCTGGAGACCAGTAAGGCAAGGAGATAAGTCGATGCTTCAGGCACATAAGATGGCAACTCCCAATGAGGAAGGAAGAGCAACTCAACTGTGAGTCCCTCTCGGATGACTGCACTCCTCACTTTATCTCTAAAGGTGAGGCCGGACACCCCGAAGAGAAAATCTCATTTCAGCCTCTGCAATGCGTGTCCTTTTGGTTATTACCCAAACTTTGTGGGGGTGGAAATGTAAAGCGACCGGGAAATTGAAAGCTTTGCTTTCTGACTTAGCTCCACAGTGCGGTACATTGATTGCATCTGCATGTCAATCTTACAGTCTGTCCTTCCCAAAACTACAGAGTCAAAATCCAGGGATGCTTGGGCTATGTTCTCATGTGTAGTACGTGTACGAACAAGATCCCTTGTTCCCCGTAAAAGAATTCTTCGGTATCAAGTAAACAACACCGCTCTTGCCTATTGACACGGAGTCATGCTGCTAGGCTATCTGCTGGTTGGCATTTGCAATTGTGACAGGACAGCGAATCTTGTGAATGGTGAAAGTTTTATTCTAGGCGCTCTACATAAAGAGAGAGATAGCAAGAAAGAGAGAGAGAGAGAGAGATAAAGAGAGAGAGTGCACAGAAAAACTCCTGTGAAATTCACACCAAAAATATTGTTTTTACTCTTTATCATTTATAATTCTCCATGATGATGTATTCCAGTATGAATTTACAAGTGATGTTTACAGGTGTCATTTTTCTAAGTATATTCAAAATAGTTCCTTAAAAGTCTTTGAGTTTACCCAAATTAACAATTTAAAAAAAACAAACAAACAAAGCTTTTCTACAGCAAACCATAAAGAAAGAGGTCTCATATCTTTGGAGGGTGAGCAGACTCAAAGGTTTTTTTTTTTCTTTTTTTTTTTGTCTTCTTCTCGGTGGAAGTCCTGACTATACATGAAGTAGGAGTGGGAAGAGAGAAGGAGAGCTGGTGGTACATTTTCAAATTCTCACCTGCCATGGAGGAAGAGCAAGGATGTCCCACCATCCCAAATTAAGCTCTGACCTCTGACCTGTAATCCCATTGAGCAAAACAGGGCCTGATAATGACCCCCCCCCCACACACACACCAATGAGTGAGTACACTTCTTCTCCCAAAACAGCAGCAGCGTCTTCATTATGTTAAACATAGATAATCTTTTTTTTTTCCCCCCTCAATCTCTCGCAAATATGTATATACTCACACCTGGTTACAAAGCATTAGTGATCATAACAATCATGACAAAATGAAACAAAACAGAAACATAAAACATTGTTACATTTGGGGTTGCATGCCATCACCTCATTATTTATCATTAAATGTAATTAAAATACTTGTTTTTTTTTTTTCAATTAAAAAGAGCAGGGTTGTCATCACAAGGGTGCGTTTGGGTGCCTGTGTGTTCCAACATAAAACGGCATCAGTTTACATGACAGTTCTGCCAAAGTAGAAAGAATCAAATAAATTGCCGTGAGTCCGTGTGTGTGTGTGTGTGTGTGTGTGTGTGTGTGTGTGTGTATATA